CAAGCTAGATGACCTCTCAGTTTTGTGGACGCAAGTACTTTAAGAATGTTTCAAAAGTGTACTTTTATGGACGATTCGATACAAAAGAGACTGCTTTGTACTGAAACTGAACTACAAATTCAAGTCCAAATCTTGAACAAACAAGGTAAATATACAATTTTATATATGTCACGATATATGTTTTTTTGGCAGTATCTGCATTTGAATTTGTTCCTGATCTACAATTCCATTGCGCAGCATAAGGATTTCGGAACTTGGTTGCTTTCTTTATTACGTGAAATAATTGAAGCTGAAATGTTAAACTTTAACCAATATTTAGGTTGCAGTAAAAACTATCTGCATATGCTCTCAGTTACCTCTCTTACTTCCCCTTAAAAATGTCCATGATGGACCTAGAGGGCATCAGTAATACATGTACAATACAAATACAATACTATAGTAAGTGCATTTAACTTTTTTTGATTATCTTATGTAGACCCATATCACGAATGAGCATTATTCTCAGAAACATGTATAAATGTATGTGTGTATATGAGTGTGTGTTGGGGGGGGGGGTCTTTAGAAGAATGCAATTTCCATGCAATATAAACAGAAAGACTGTTTTACAAAAATTCGGGAGCAGGCACGTGCTGATCTACTCTAGTGCGCAATATTAAACCAGTCATATCTGTCATGAAATCATATATAAATGCCTAAGGCTTTGGAAAATTGAAGTTTATGAGACTTAAAATTTTCATCCATAGGTCGACTATGGATTGGTTCAGAATATGGTTGCCAGATTTCCTTTGGAAAATGCACTCTACAATCTGTCTAGTGTATCAGTCAAGAGAAAAGCATAGTATTGGAACTTCGGTCAAAGATATTAAAGGAGGACGCTGTTTAAATAAAGAAAGTGTAACGGGACACAAAGAAATCTTATACCTTTAACAGAGAAAGAAAGATGTCAGAGGTTTTTTTTAATGTTTTTGTATGTTTTTCTATGTTCAGAAGGTTTAATATTATGTTAACTTTAATATTCAGCTTTTCCAGCTTGCATGATATTAAGATAAAGGTATCGTTTGTAATATAAAAATAATATATTATTGATATTCTTTGATATGAGATTTACCCCGAGTCTTTTTGTCATCAAGATGTAATGTATGCTTTTTCTGTAAACAATATATACAGAATTAGTTTATTTTATGAGAGGAAATTTACCTTGAAAAGTTCTGCTTTTTTCAAAAAGTAATATTTGTTTTATTCTATGAATTATATAAACTGCAGCAGTGATATTCTTTGTGTGTGTGTGTGTGTGGGGGGGGGGGGGGGGTTATCCCGTAAAGTCTTGCCACATCGAGTTGCAGTGTTTGTTCATGCTTTGAATAACATAAACTGTATTATTGATAGTCTTTGGGAAGGAGGTATTTACCCCGTACATACTTGCTATTTTCAAAGTTTAATGTTTGTTTTTTTTTAAGTATGATGTAAACTGTATTAGTAATATTTTTTAGAGGAAATTTTCCCCGTAAATTTTTACTACTTCCAAGATATTGCAAAGCATAAATTCTGTATCAGTGATATTCTTGCGGGGGGGGGGGGGAGGGGGGGAGGGGGGATTTACCCCGTAAAGTCTTGCCATCTTAAAGATGGGTGTTTTTGCTTTGAAATACTGTATATAAACTGTATCAATGTAATTTTTAATAGGAAAATTACTCTTATAGATTGTAACCATCTTATAGATGTTTGCGAATCAAAGATACTGTTTCAGTGATTTTCTTTGGGGGGAAATTTACCCCGTAAAGTCTTGCTATCATCAAGATGGTTGCCTTTGCTTTCAACACTGTATATAAACTGAATCAATGTCACTTTTGAGAGGAAATTTACCCTGTAGAGTTCTGCGATTTTCAAAGTGTAATGTTTGCTTTTTCTACGTATAAGATAAACTGTATCAATAATTATTTTAAGAGGAAATTTACCCTGTAGATTTTTGTTACCGCCAAGATATTGTGAAGCATAAATTCTGTATGAGTGATATTCTTTTGGGGGAAATTTACCCCGTAAAGTTCTGCTATCTAAAATATGGTTGTTTTTGCTTTGAAATACCGTGTATGTACTGCATCAATGTCATTTTTTAGAGAAAAATTACCCCGTAGATTGTTGCCTTCTTCACGATGTTTGCGAATCATAAATACTGTATTAGTGACTTTATTAGGGGGGAAATTTACCCCGTAAAGTCTTGTTATCATCAAGATGGTTGCATTTGCCTTCAAACACTGTATATAAATTAAATCAATGTTTTTTTTTGAGAGGAAATTTACCCTGTAGACTTCTGCAATTTTTAAAGTGTATTGTTCGCTTTTATAAGAGTAGTGAATACTTTATCAGCCAGAGATATTCTTTGGGGGGAAATTTACCCCGTAAAATTTTGATTTCTACAAGACTGGTGTTTTGCTTAGAAATACTGCACTAGTATATAAAATGTATCAATATGAATTTTGAGAGAAAAATTACTATGTAGATTGTTGCCATCTTCACGATGTTTGCGAATCATACTGTATTAGTGCTTTTCTTTGGGGGGAAATTTACCCCGTAAATCTTGCTATCATCAAGATGGTTGCTTTTGCTTTCAACACTGTACATAAACTAAATCAATGTCATATTTTTGAGAGGAAATTTACCCTGTAGAGTTCTGCGATTTTCAAAGTGTAATGTTTGCTTTTTATAAGAGTAGGGAATACTGTAACAATGATATTCTTTGGGGGGAAATTTACCCCGTAAAGTCTTGCTATCTAAAAGATTGTTGCTTTTGTTTTGAATTACTGTAGTTACACTGTTTCAATGTCATTTTTGAGAGGAAATTTACCCTGTAGTTTTTTGCTATCTTTAAGATGTGAATCAATGATTTTCTTTCGGGGGAAATTTACCCCGTAAAGTCTTGCTAAATTGTCAATAGTTCCTCCAAATATTTACATTTTAGTTTATTTGTGACACTAGATCGTGTTTCTATTAGAAAAACGCTGATATTTCACAATCTTATGAATAAATATCTTATAAAACTGTGTTCTTTTGTTAGATTTTGTCAATACCTGAGGGCAAAATGCCTAAAACAGAAAAAAAAGATTTTCTGTTTTGATTTTGGAATGCGTTACACCTTCTTCCACAAAATATAGTTCTTCACTTAAAGTTTTTGGTATAAAATAAATTCATGGAGTTTTACTTGAACATAGTTTAATTGGCATGGTAGAATCCAAATCTATTGTCAGAACTAAAACATGATGCAGAATTTTTGAAATAGAGGACAAAACAAAAATATGCTCAAAAGCTCAGTGACCCTTTTCAAAAAAAAAAACTTACGACTAAGACACCTTTATAATTTTTGCTTGATAAAGATATTTTTTTTCTAAAATTCTATTTGCAACTGGAATCTAATGTAATAGAAATGTAAGGTTTTTGTGACCTACCACGGCTTAGATACTTGTTAGAGAATGGGAATTTTTTTTTATTTTAGTCGTAAGATTTTTTTTATGAAAAAGGCCACGGAAGCGAACCTCGTAAACAAGGTATACGTGTAAATCCCTGAGTCAGGATGAGTTACCCAGGGATACTAATCAGAATTTTTTTATTAAATAATTACACACCAATATCTAATCTTCACATCGTGCCATCCTACTCACACCAAAAGGAATATCCCTTACAACTTAGCCGGAAGAATTTGTGCAATTGTGAGAAATACAGATACTATAAATCAAAGGCTGACAGAGCTAAAATCATTTCTTCTTGCACAACATTATCCAGAAAATCTAATCCTTTCTGCAATAGAAGAATGCAAGAAAATCCCGCAGTATATTTTAAGAAAGAGTAGAAAAAATGGCAAAGATCCCTTTTTAATCCCTTTTGTGACAACATATACTCCAAAACCTATTAATATATTTCAAGAGGCAAAAAACAACTTTACAATTATTGAACGAGATAAAGACCTTCAATAGCTTACACAGAACTTGGACTTAATTCACAGCCAACGACAACCACCCAATTTAAAAAAAAAAGTTATTGACCAGAGCTAAATTCAACTCCATTCCTGAAAAATATTCAGTATCAAAATGCCGTGATCCCAGATGTGCTACCTGCCCTATTCTACGAACAGTATCCTCTATTTTCATTTTCAAATGTGAAAAAAACTTTTTATGTAAATGAAAATATGTAATGCAAAACCAAAAACCTTCTTTATTGCATAACTTGTAACAACTGCAGAGAGGTATACATCGGTCAAATCGGATCCCAATTAACCGCCCTCATGCGAGTCCATTGCCAGCAAATCATAATCCCGGCATCAGAAACACCCCATGCAGTGAGCATTTCGACATTTGCCCTTAAGGACACTACATTGTCTTTCCATTTTATAAATTTAGGAGCGATTCAGCCGTAATGAGAATAGTATAAGAGAATTATTTTATAATTTTTTTTCACGAAAACTGAACAAGCATTAACATATTGATGTGTTTATGTCTTTTTTTAAATTAATTTGTTAATAGTTTGATAATTGAGACTGTGAAAATCATAATTTATTGTCCAATTCAATTTTCCCGACGTTACGCTACATACTATGACGTCTTGGATGTATTCCTTCCCTGCAAAGACATTCATGACGTCATGACGTCATTGTTAACGTTGCCAAGCAAAACAAAACAGTTCAATTGTTATGTATACCTGTACACCTGAAGACGGATTATGAATCCAGAAAGCGCTTGCGTTGATTGAAATTTGGAACCTGTGCATTTTCTTTTTCTTTTATGATTATTTTTACTGTTTGCCCTCATATTTTAAGTACTTTTAATATATATATATATATATATATATATATATATATATATATATATATATATATATATATATATATATATATATATATATATATATATATATATATATATATATGAAACAATGAGATGAACCCAATGAGAAACTTATGCGGTTAAGGAGGATTTGATTAATGTATTGTCTTGGTATTGTTTATAAAATGCTTATATTGAACTTTTAAGTGAATTTTCCAAGGAAGAGTACACAGAGATTGCTTCTACATTCTTTCGAAGTAAAGCCTCAAGCATGTTAGTTGTTGACGTCACTGGAGAAATACAGATGTCCTCTTTCTTTGGTTCTAGTTGTTGAACGGGAGTGGAAGGTACGGCCAGGTTTGGGTCAATTTGAACCATAGTTATATTTGAAGTTGTTTGATTTCCAAATAGATCTAGGAAGAGATTGCATTTTTCTAGACTTAAGTCAGAGTTGTCAGAAATTAAAGGATTCTGAACCAATTGAACCATTTCTGGTTGTAGTTTTGATACGTATTTTTCCTCTTTGGCTTCAGCGGTAGTTTCACCTTGTTTGAACGCTTCAGCTTGCGATTTGTAATTTGTAACTGGACCAAACTTTGGACTTTTTCACGCCTGTCCTGCTCTCCACAGGAAGTATGTAACTCTTGCCTTTCTTTGAGATTAAACAGTTTTACTTTGCATGAATCAATGCTTTCCTTGCATAACTTTTTCTTTCAAACAAGATTTTGTTGTCGCATGCTTCGTGTTGTTGTCACCTCCAAATACCTTTGGTTTTGCCTCTTCGTTGAAAAGTGAATCTTCTATGAGAGGATTTGCTTTAATATTTGGTGATACTCTCGGCATCATGAATACTTCAAACATCGCATCGATTTCGCTCAGTCTCCTTCTCGGTCTCTTCTTTTGCTTTACTTGCATGCAGTCTAGTTGTTCTGTCAGTCCATATAAGTGCATCTTCAGTTCAAGTTGCTAGAATCAGAACATTATATGATTTAGCATTATGCATTCGTTTTAGGCATCTAACAACTTCTTAAGAAAATCATATCCTGCATCTTATTTCTAATGAATAAATAGTTTTAACAGATAAATAGGAATTTTTGCCTTTTTTGTTACAACCAATCCTTTGTGCAGTTAAAAGCTCAAACTTTTTTTTTTGGTATAAAAAAGAATCTCTTAGATATTCTTGTTCCAATTTTTGCAATTACGACCTAATTCTTAATGATATCTTTATAAGTAATATATATCTGAAATTGTAATGAAAGGGAATCTTACAAACATTCTTATCAGCGTTTTATGGTATTTTTTCTCCATAGCTTTCTGGTGTGCTTCATATTCTGTCAGTTTTTCTCTGTCTTTCTTCAACATCTTAACATACTCAACAGAGGCTTTTAATATGGAACCTTTATTGAGTTTCATTGACCTGATAAAAGGAACAGAAAAGAAAATGGCTATTATAATATACATGGCTTCGAGAGCAACATACCAGAATATTTGCCCCCGATGTGACAGGAAACCGCCTATTATTTAAGCCCTGGAGTGTTATGTCCCCGATGCCGAAGGCAGAGGGCGACATAACACTCCAGGGCTTTCCTGTTACCGAGGGGCAAATATTCTGGTATTGTTGCCCGAGAGGTCATGTAATATATAGTATATAACAATCAAAATCGGACATATTTATTGAAGACTATGGACCTGTGTAAATATCTCTGGAAAAACCGGCAAATTGTTTTTTTAAAATATTTTTTTAAAATTAATTAATATGCAGAATGATTGCACGCGAGGGAATATAACTGTGTTCGGGGGGCAATATAACTGTTTCCGGTGTAATATAACTATATCCGGCATGAATCAGCAGTTTTTCAGGGCGTTTGAATAAAAATATATTTGTGAAAAAATGGGAAAACTTATTCAAAAATGTTATATTACTTGTTAACTACTTTATGGTGTTTTCTAAATAAATGAACAACTTTATGTTGTCAAAGATGCAATAAAAGATGTCTATTCAAAATGACCAATTTCAGCATTTTAAAATAGAGGAAGATATATTATTTTTTAAAAATTCTTTTAAAAGTGCAATCAACAACAAAAATATTGCTTTTTAAACTATAAAACATATTATTACAGATGGATGGACGAGGGCAGCAAAGTAGCGAGTTCTTTTATCCTGTCGTTGATATTATATCGCCGTCTTCTCTCAACTGAAAAAGAATTATATCAAAACTTTCAATTAATCTCTCAAGAAAACGTACATAAAATAAAGACAATTTAAAAGGAAAGATTGTTTTTACACTCCATTTGTAATTTTTTTATTAATTAACCCTTTTTTCCCCTTTTCCTTTCAAAGTAAGAGAATGCTGTAATTTCTCAACGAGTATTAGTATTTTATATTTCATCAATGACAAAATTATACTAATTAATATAATGAGCATATATCTATTGTACAATCTTACTGATATTATGATTGTCCTTTTTAATCCTTTCTTTTTTCCAGAGTGCTTTCTCGTCTTGTGTCTCATATTGTTTAGAGGTCGATAGGTCATTTATTGACTTCTGTTCGACACTTCTCGGGTTACTTTCCTCAGTCTGATGACTCTAAAGCATTACTCATAAATTACCTATCATTTCAAAATTAATATTTACTATAGGTATGACTGTATAGTTGGATTATTTTGAAGCAATTTACAGTTTTTTCTCACCTCTGAACAGAACACAAAATGCTCGATTGTATGATCCTCAGGACACACTGGGTCAATTTGAACTGAACTGATAACATCCCCGATCAACGTATCCACCTGGAATTAAAAAGATCTTAAACTTAATAAACTGAAATGTTAAATAATGATTTAACAATGCTTCAAGAAAATAAATGATCAGCTAAATCTCTGACTTTGAAATTGAAGAATTAAATAAGACAAATAAAATGGATCGCCAGGAATTACTGATTCCTTTAAAAAAAAATTGTTAAAACATTATTATTATTATCATAATCATTAATTTTTAGTACTAAGTTAAAAAAATGTTTTTCGTAAGAATGAAATCGTTGTATACATGTTCGGCTATAAACGTGTTTTTCTATCTACATACATCATCAATATCCTCCATGTTTGTGATGGCGTGACGTAATTCTTCAGAAAGAGGCAGATCATGAAGATGCTGGTAATTGTCTTTAGAATCGTCTATTATTGTTGAAAACATGGCTTCAATGTCCTCAAAATCGTTCGTTTGAAATATATTTGGTTCCTTTCTCTGTATTTCAAATCTACTGTTATTAGTTTGGTTGTGATCTAAGGTAATGTCGTTAGTGATCGTTTCGTGCGTCCTTGTCTTGCAAAAAAAAAACAAAATCATATATATATATATATATACATAGAGAGAGAGAGAGAGAGAGAGAGAGCGAGCGAGGGAGGGAGAGACTCCTTATCAATGATAGAACAAAAGCAGAACACGCGTAAACAATCATATGCTAAAATCGACTGCCACGTAATGAAATACCTTTGTCCAGATTTGAATTCATTTGAATTTAATTCATCAAACATTGCTTTGTGTCTTTTATCAACCTGATCAATACATTGTAAGACTTCTCATTCCTATATATGAAGTTACTATTAGTTCTGATAAGACTGTTGTCCATTGCCCTAGTATTGACAGTATGGTCTTTTCACAAAATAATGGATGCACACATTTGAACAATTGTCATCGAATAAAATCAAAAGAACGTATGCAATTTGAGCCAAGTAAATATAGCAAGAAATTTATTTTTCATAAACTTGGGAAAATCTGAACTGCAAATCTTCTAATGATGTCTACGCAATAGAATGTAATCTATGTGGACTTGTTTATGTTGGTGAAATCAAGGGAACACTCAATAAAAGAATTAATATCAGGTCATAGATTTCAGATAAATAATTGGGGTCAACAACTTTTATACAAGCAATTTAATTTACCTGTCATTCTACTTCGTCAATGAAAGTTAGAATTCTAGAAAAGATTTACCATCACACAGACAGTCTATCACTGAGTACACTTTTCTGTAGACAACGAGAACAATTTTAGACAGCCTTTCCCTATGGATGTAATGACAATGTCGATAGTGTTAGAAATCTTTCCAGTCCACAGTGTAACAATGTAAGTGTGATGGGACTTTTTATCCATACGAATACACGTAAGCATAGTCATGAGAATCGGTCTTAAAATAATCATTTAATACACGATGTTTCTTTTGATTCATTACTACCTTACGTAAATCAATAGTCAGGTCCACATCATATTCGCACCAAACTTTACTCTGTCCCTTTGAAACTTTTAAAGTCTTCTTGAAAAGGTCAAGGAAAGTCCATTTTTTGATTCCTCGAAACCAGAATATAGGCACGGATATGTGATTATGGATATTGCAAATCATAGGCTTTTTAAACCCCCACATTTTACTGAAGAAAATGCAGATAAAACAATCCGTTTTTCCTAAAACTTCAATATGCCAAGAAAGGAATTGACGCGGTTAATAGAAGTAATATTCTTAATCACAAAAGGGTCCAGTCTTGTATTCCACCATATTTCAAGTTAAAGACTACACCTTGTATTTCCTACAAATATACATCGACTATTGCTTCTAAACTTTTTAATTACAAGAGAACTTTACAGGGCCTGGATATCGAATATCTGAAACATAACCCACCATCGTGTTCTTTTTCATCCTATAACTTAAGTGTTGCTGGACACGTTATTACCAGTGACGAAAATATAGTTAATAATGAGGACCTTAGATCACTAATTTTAAAAGGTCCTAAATATTGGGAACCCCGATCCTTCAACGGGCGTCGGAATTTCATAAATATTATAGATTCTGTAGAGGATTACGCCAGGCGATGGGCCAGACATGAAAAAGAAGACCTTGACACTTTTTCAGAATGGATTAAATGTATCAGATGTATGTTAAAATCGCGCATTAAAAGATTGTGGGGGCAATATGAGAACCATCTATCTTTCTGAATTCAATAATCCAGAAGTGAAAAAAGAATAAGATTGATTATATGATCAGTACGTATTGGTCCCTGCTGACAAGGCAGGTAACAACATTGTCTTTGTTTGTAAGGCTCATTATATTAAACGTATTTTAGAGGAACTTGGATCCATTTCTACAAGTGGTAATCCAACTTATACTCATAGTTCCCTTTCTAAGGAAGACATTCTCCAAAATCGTATGTCAGTTTTGAATATTTTTAATATTCCAAACAACCAAAATGAAATTGACTTACCCTATTTATATTGGATTCCGAAACTTCATAAAAATCCTTACAAAAAAGATACATGTACATAGCGGGTTCCAGTAAATGTTCAATCAAGTCTCTTTCTTTTAAATATTATACAAAGAAATTAACAGTAGTGAAGGAGAAACTTCAGGAGTACTGTGCAACAATATATTCGAGAAGTTGTGTAAATCAGATGTGGATACTTAAAAATTCCAAGGAACTTTTGGAAAATTTGAAATCACAAGATTTTACCAACATCAACAGCTTAAACACTTACGACTTTTCAACTTTATACACAACCATTCCCCACGATAAATAAAAGTCCAGGCTTTTTGATATCATTGACAGCTGCTTTTTAAATAAAAATGGAACTCGTAAATTTACTTACCTTGTCATTGGTCATTTGCAAAATTGTTTTGTTAAAAAACATTCTGATTGTACACACAAGTACTCTGAAGTTGACATAAAAAAGATGCTTGAGTTTCTGATTGACAATATCTATGTGGTTTTTGGAGACCTGGTCTTCCAACAATCTATTGGAATTCTCATGGGTACCAATTGCACCCCGTTATTAGCAGACCTTTTCTTGTATTCATATGAAGCAGAATTTGTCTAAAATCTTATACGTGAAAAGAAGAAAACACCTTCAACTCGACATTTAGATATATCGACGACGTATTGTCAATTAACAATAGCTATTTCCATGCTTATGTCGATACGATATATACCGGTGAGCTTGAGATAAAAGATACTACAGAGTCTGACACATCTGTTTCATATTTGGATATTTTACTTGAAAAAGACGTTAATGGTAATCTAACAACCAAGCTTTATGATATACGTGATGACTTGACCTTTTCAATCGTCAACTTCCCTTACTTATGCAGCAATATACCTTCATCACCTGCATACGGAGTATATATCTCTCAGTTGATTCGATCCGCAAGAGCATGCTTTACGTATGTACATTTTCTAAAACGAGGTAAATTATTGACAAACAAGTTGATGAAACAAGAATATTAGCTGTCTCGTTTAAAGTCATCATTTCGTAAGTTCTATGGTCGATACAATGACCATGTCAGCAAATACAATTTATCATTAAATCAAATGCTGACTGACGTTTTTCATACTAATTGTTAGGTCATTATTTACAAACTGAATTGTCGACGGATTTTTCCGTTAATTCCCAATCATGAGAAGGAGCACACGGCGGGTGTGACCGTCGGCAGGGAATGCTCACTCCTCCATGGCACCTGATCTCACCTCTGATATTTGGAGATCCGTGTTTGTTTTGCTCCTATTTTGTATTATTTTATGGACATATGAGCTTGAATACTGTTCGTTATCTCCATATATTTCATTTAAAAAAGTATTTTGAATTCTAATATTTAATTATTGTGACACAATTTAATCAATAAACTTGCAGGAAAATTTATCATTTACGTAAGGTTTTAACAAATAGATTAAGGGATCTTTTTTTTTTTAATTTATCTTACTCAATACAAATCAGTGAAAGATAACATATAAATTGTTGAAAAACTTGTTTATGCCTCTATTTAAGTTGTATAAACCTCATCTTACTTCATTTCACATTATTTTATACTTAAACACCTGACTTGGTTAAAATAGAATAGATTTAAGACTGACAACAACATGTATTCTTTCATTATTTTATATGAAAATGGTGTAGTCTCAGTGTATGGAGAAAAAGGAATTAGCCAGGTAAATGATTGGTTTTAATTTATCTGTTATATCTGTACGGATTGTCGAGTCCTGAGTAATGATCGGTGATCTATACTGCTTGCAAATATTTTGATGTGATGATGAAAACATTGAGCTTAAAAAGATATAAAGTATTTGGGATTAATTCAAGACAAGTGTCCAATAGATTATTTTTTTCTGAATTAGGCGGTATCAACACATGCAGTCACACATTTTTTATTGTTAGTAATTGATTTTCTTTTTTGTTGCAATTAATTTTATTAACTTAATGATCTCGAAGTTTAAACTGAAACATCATTTCGATAAAATATCGTTTTTAAATAATAGTTTAATTTTGATAATATTATAATAACATCATCATTTTAGAAATAGACGAGTAGAGTAAAGTTGAAAATATTTACAAAGATATTTTAAGAGAATTTTCAATACAGACATTTATAAATCAGCATTTGCAATTCCAAATTAACAATGCAACATAAATTTTAAGGCATGTCTCAACGCGTTAGCATCAATTTAGTTAGCCATTATTAAGTATGAATTCAAATTATTTCAACCCCGTTATCATGTAAATAAGAAAAAAGCATTGATCAAGCAGATTTTTTATTTCTCTGTGAAAATTTATTTTATTTTAATATTCAAAAGAAATTTCATTTAAAATTGCAAAGAAAAATTACCTCAATTTTCTTTTCCAGATCAGGAGAATCCAGTGTGTTTTCAAATTTAAATCCTTCCTTGTATTGTTTGTCTATTTGGTTCAGTTGCTGACGTATATCTAACAGTTGTTTGCTAGCTTGGAATGATGAAGTCATTTTTGCTTCACAAAGTTCTATCATGTACAGAACCTTCAAAGATCTGGATAGAAAAACGATGCTTGGTGCTTGGACTTGATATGAATAATGTACCCAGCTCATGAGTTGCACCTATTACATATGTAGATAATATATGTATGTTATTCATGTTTTTCTTGTATTGGTCGAATGCAAATAACCTTGAAATCCCTGTTAAAGGAAACGTTTGAATTTTAGAGATAATAAATATGCTGACAAATGTACAGCCCTGTTCTCTTTCACTATTCATTGCAGTTGATTGCGTTGCATGTTAATGACCTTTGACAGATAAGTCTTTGTGTCACTGGCAGGTCACCGATTCAATCAAAAGCCCATTTAAAATATGCATGAATGAGAAACGCATCACCCTTTTGTCATAATTTTCTCCTTTTCTTTGAATGATGAATATAATTTTGACTTAGAGTAATTAATTAAAAATTGCAGATTTGTGTGTTCTAATTCCCCCTCCCCCTCCACAAGTAAAAAGACCCCTCTCCCTCACAAAAAAGAGAATAGAATTTTTTTTTTTTTTTTTTTTTTTTTTTTTTTTTTTTTTTAAAGAAATTTAAAAGATAGCAGCTAAAAAATATATCCCATTTCAATGGTTTCTATCTTTAGTTTAAATGCAGGACAAAATGATTTAAATAAGAATTAATGAACTTAATTTTTCATAAACATTACAGAACCATTTTGAAAGAGAATAATATACAATAAATTATTTTACCACTCTTACAGTATATTTAATGTTTGATATCAGAACATTCATCTGAAATATTTATTTTTACTGTGATAAACCGGTAAATAAATGATTTGTTACCATTAAGAATATATAATATATACTTTAAGAATAAAATCTTACAGATATAGGTCTATTCCTTTAATTCTTTTTCAAAATATTCGAGCGCTCATGAAATGTTCGATCATTTTATAGAGATAATTTTCATTTCTTTACTAGCATTTTATTTTAGGTTTTTTAATTTCAAATGAAACAGTAAGTATTTTTTATATATATCGTCAGTTTTTCTTTTGTCTTTGTTTCCGAAAATAAATATTTAACATAATATATATTTTTATTGGTTTTTATTGGTGTTGTTTAATAAAATTTTATTTTTTTCAAAAGCGATGACAAAAAATAAAAACCGAACAATGAAAAAAAAAAAAAAACAATCACAATAAAATTGCATAAAAAATACATAAAATTGTCTCTACTTTCGTCAACGATTCTCTTCAGAATTATCAAGGTCTGACGACACGTTCCTCGAATATCTGTTTTTGCATCCCTTTGTAATATACCCATATATAATGCCTATAATGTAATTTTTTCCTTCATTGTCACAATAATTAATGATTTCAATAAGAATATGATATCTCTTTTTAACTTAGAAATCGTAATGATATGAAGTGTATTATTATTATTATTATTTTTATTTTGAATCTACTACATTTTTGAAGACTGCTGCCATCTAAATCCATTTTAAATGGTCCATAATAATTGTAATTCTGATGATCTGTTTTCTTTTACCATAAAGTGAATAATCTCGTCAAATAAATGCATAGAAACTCACATACACAAGATTCTGATGCCTGTATATCCCTGTATATTGACGTATGTCCCGAAACATTAGAAAAAGGGGAAAAAAAATATTGTTTTATTTTTGTATGATGGCATATGTATTTTTTCTTGTACTGCAGAATGTAAAATTTACTGCATAAAAATGTGTTTTAAAATTGCAAGAGAATGTAAAATTCACTGCATAACAATGTATTAAAAATTGCATTGCCAAGTTAAAAGCTAGCAGTTTGAAAAATGAGAATGAGATTCTGTGTCATGTTCTTGTTATAATTCTTCAAAAAGCAACATTTTTAGAATTGTCCCTGACAGTTCACTTATATAATTATAAATGCAAGTGACAGCTTTAACTGTATGCTTTAACTGTATGGGCTAAGTTTAATCTTAAAGGACTTGCCGTATGACCTAAAATTTTCGTAATTTTAATGAAAAATATTCTCTACGACAAAATACTAAATATAATAAACGTTGTTGTAAGCGGTTAGAGTAGGAATTCAAATACGACGAGATGCAGAATTCAATGGGATTTCTGCGCTTCACTGTTGTTACGACATAAGCGACAATTAAATGAAAGAGAGATGAGAATTCGCGTAATTTTAACGGAGTAATCAACAACAAATACAGCAAAATAACGAAAAATGCTGAAAAAATCACTTTCCTACAGACTTTTTAAATACTTACTTTAGAAGTATGAATTATTCTTATTTAAAGGTATAAACATAATGTAAACAATGTACATGCATTATTATCGGAATTTGGTGTGGGTGTAGTCATGCTAGAAAGAAAATAAAAACAGAAATGGTAACGCAAAACAAAGTTACTATTTCATAGAGGAGCTTGTCCATTTTTTTTTATCGCTATAATTACAGAAAAAAGATCTCTTCAAACCACAAATAATATTCTAATTATCCCCCGATTTCCTTCTGAACTGAACTATGATTCAATAGCTTATTAACATTATAATTGAAAAAGATTATTAAAGTAAATTATCAAAGTTCCTAAATTTTTCACCTGTGAATAGAATAGGTTTATACGTGTGATAAGATTAAGAATCAAATGGTATTGTGAGGACAAGTTCTTAGTTTCTTTTTCGTCTCTGTTAAGGGGTTAATTTACCATGTTAAAAGATTTTGCAGAATTTCATTTTGCTGACAGTTCAAACATATCAGTAGCTCTTTTCACAAAAAAATCTTAAGTTTTTGCATAAGATTTAAACTTAAGAATCTCTTAAGTCAAATCTTTAGTGCGTTTCACGAACGCATTCGTAGCAGATTGAACTTAAGATTTTACTTACGACAGACTTCATCCCTAGCGACGGCTTCAATATGCTTCATAATCCCTAAATAAGTGGGTAAAAATAAAAACAAACTTAGTTTTCAACATTTGTCAGCATAAAAAACATTATTGACAACAAATATCGTTTGAGAAGCAAGGAAGTTTGAAAACTGACGTCAAAATCACAAGTCTGACGTAAAAGTAGGTAATTTGAAAATCTTAAGTGAAACTTACATCGTAAATATTTTGTAGTGTATTTCATTTATTTTTCGACAATGATTGTGTAAAAAACAAATGTAAATTATTATTGGAAGTTGCTTAAAAAAGTTCAATTTAACGTGTATTTTGGTTTTTGCGGCTATGCTTATAATAAAATCGGTTTTAAAATATTTAGAGGGTTGGGGCTCTCCTTAAGTTACGACAGATTTTGAAATTAGTACTATCTTAAGACTTTTTGTGAAAACGATTTAGTTTTAACTTAAGATAAAAATATGTCGTAAGGTTTTTTTGTGAAAAGGTCAACAGGTTGGATGTCCAGCCTCATATCGACAAAATCGGTGATTTGGTCGTCTTAAACGAAGATTGATTGATTGATTGTATGTTGTTTTACGTCTCATTCGAAAATTTTTCACTCATATAGATACGTCACCATATACTGGTGAAGGGCTTCTAATTTAGACTTTTACTCGGCACTCAGGGCCATTGAGCAGAGAGGGATCCCTATCGTGCTAACGCCTGCCGTGACACGGGGCCTCGGTTTTGGTAGGTCTCATCCGTAGGACCCACAACTTTTACTTCAAAGTGGCGAGCGCTTGGCGAAGGAACAGTTTCTACCTTTTTTTATCGACTTAGGTCAGTCGCGGCCGGGGCTCAAACCCACGACCTTCCGATCACAGAGCGAGCGCTCTGCCGAATGAGCTTCCGTGACGGTTAATGAAGAAAACAAGTTCGTATAGCATATATTTTACAGCTGATCAGCCGTTGTCGCCTTTGGCGTCACATGGTAACGTGATCGCTATCTAATTAATTTGGATTTTAAACTCAGGAGTTTTTAATTGAATCAATAAATTTTTAATTTCCACGGTATATCCACAGTAATAACATCAAGTTTATAAATTATGAACATGGGGAACATATTACGCTTTTAAGGTAGTCCGATCCTCAGGTTCTGAAAATCAGCTTTTAAGTAATTGAAAATACTCACAAAAATGTCTCTGATTTCACATAGTAACTTGAATTTTCCCATGGAATTTCGTCAAAGTTCATCATAATTTTTTTTTCATATTAAATAGGAAAAAATATCAAAGCTCAGATATACTTTCAATGCGAAATGCGAATAAAGACATCAGCTTTGCATTTTCTAATTGAAAATTGATCAACAAATATAATTTAGGATAGAAAAATAATAGAAAAAATATAATAAAAATAGAAAAATATCCAGGCATTTGGAGAAAATGGAATCTTTTTTATGCTTATACAGTTGATTTAAATTAAGTTCCTCTTTTTACTTCAATTGTCATATACATGCAATACATAGTGTAAAAAAGCTTTTGCTATCATTACTAGCCATCACATATCACATCTAATTTCATATCATGCTAATAAGCAGTGGTATCTAATGCTAGACTAAAGAAAATTTGATCTCTCTATATATGATTTCTTTTTTTTAATGGGGTACAAATGTCTTCTTTTTTTTTACAAGACCGTTTCTAAGACTTCAAAGAACCTTGAATCATATAAAGATGCATAAAATGAAAATTGTTGCACTAAAAGATCTCAATTCCAAGTTTTATTTCGAGACTTTTTAAATAAAAAAATAAATTTTAGAGTTATCCTTCCTGGCTGAGGATCAGAGTTTCTTAATTCAAAGTAATTGAGAAACATGCAACAAGTCCTTTAAAGCATCTGAATTCTAGAATATGACTTTTTTTGCAAATCTTGTATTGCTTTCTTTTCCTTATGCCAATATTTATGTTTCTAATTTTCAATGAAAATTTGTTATTATAAGCGCATTTTTTGTATTGTCGATTACATGAGAATAGTTTTCGTCAAAAAAATTTCATGTGTTAACATTTCCTTCTTATCACAATGCATTGCCATTCATTTTGAAATATTCCAGATTCTCAGGTATTTAATC